ACTATTATTATTGTTGTTGTTGTTATTATTGTTATTTATAATTTGTACAATTAACCTCCCTATGGTTCGACCCCGGTTTTGCCGAGTTATGTATTACTTTGACACTTTTGTACTTGAAAAAAGACACTGTCAAATTTTTCAACCTTATATATTTAACCCTCGTGAACCTATCTTTGTTGATTTTATTGGCATTTTGTTATACTTATCTCATTTATATTTTTTTTCTTTATACTTTTTTTTATTTTTTTTATATCTTCTCTTTCCCCTTTTTTTTTTTTTGTTTATGTGGGGCTTCAAAATAAAAATGGTTAACAACAATCACCATAAGCCATGAGGTTTGTAAATGCAATGAATGATAAAGCCATGAACCTTAATGTTCATATAGATTACTAGACTAGTACCGTGCTATACTACAGGTCTGAATTATTTTTCTAGTACGATATTTAGGCATTGCAAGTGTTTAAAAAAAGAATTTCAATAACTTAGTTTGTAGTTCTGATTAACTAAATAAGTTAGTTTTATTTGGATCATATTAAAAAAAAAAAGATGCAACAATAGCAAACAAAAATAAATAAATAAATAAATTTATATATGTGTGTGTGTAATCGCAATAACACGAGGAAAAAACCTTCATCTAAAAGCAAAAAAAATGATCATTTACCTAGTTGTGTTTAATGAATTTGTTTACTAAAACTAATTTGTAATACAAATTAACAAGGACATAAAATTTATTGAATAAAATAAAAAGAAAACAATTATTATACAAGGCTGCACATATTAAAATATAATAAAAAAATAAATATTTAATCTATATAAAATATATATATATATATATATATATAGATGAACCATACTAACCTCTTAAAAATTTAAACACACCCAATATAATTAAAAAAAAAACTAATAGCTATTTAAAAAAGGCTAAAAAACAAAAAGAAATAATAGAGGAGAGGTATTAATTAAAGCATAAATTTAAAAATTATTTTAAAAAATATATAGAGAAAAAAGGTATTAAAAATGAGAATTTAAAAAGAAGAAAAGGAAAGAAAAGAACCAAAATGGAAAAAAAAAATACACTATCAACTTGGATTGAAAGTTGAAATTGAAAATAAGAAATCATAAGAATAAACATCAAATTAAAAACATCAATACATTATAAAGAATGAACATATAGAATTTCTCAATGTGGTTTTTTACATAAAAATATTATAAATATTAATCAAAAAACTTATGCACCCATCTAATATAATAAATTACAAACCATTGTATAAATAAATAAATAAATCATTAACAATAAATAAAAACACAATTGAAAAAATTGAGAGACAAATATAGATCAAAATATTTAATATCGCAATATAGGTCATTCGTTTACTTGGTTGTGTTCAATGAATTTCTTTATTAAAGTTAATTTGTAACAAAAATTGACGCGAAAAATATTATTCAAAGCTACATATACTAAAAATATTAAAGCCAATTAAACATTTAATACACGCGCACACACACACACATATATATATATATATATATATAGATGAACAATGCTAACCTCCTAAAAAATTAAATACACCTAATATAATTAAAAAATAATTGCTATTTAAAAAAGGTTAAAAAAGCCAAGAAAAATTCACATAGAAGGGGTATTAACTAAAACATATATATTAAAAAAAATTAAAAATATAAGAAAATATATTAATGAAAAAGTGAAAATTTAAAACACAAAAAAAAAAGTGTCTAACTCATCAATAAAAAGGCCACACATGGACATTTATGTTTTTCCTTAATTCATTGTCTACCCCAATTGTTAAAAAAAAATAGATAGAGCATTTTTTGCCTCAACAAATGACACATCATCTGGAACTCCTAGAATATGGTCACCAATGTTGTTGGAAAAACAGGGTTCATAGATTTTTTATTAAAAAAAACTATTTTGAATCAATTATTGACCCCAAAATACTTGGGAAACATCTTATAAATCTTGTTAAATCAATTCATGATCTTTAAAAACACAAAAAACTATCCTAAAACTTGAAATGAACCGAAACCAAAAATCTTCATGAGCTCATATCTATTTTTCTCTAGTCATTTTTAAACTAAAAAACAAATACATAATCTTAAAATCTCTCTCATAATATAAAATCATTTGATGTAAAATAAATCATTTAATGGTTGAAATCATCATCAATGATAACTTTTTCTCTTTAAACTAGAATTTGGTGATCTTTTCTCTCTTTTTCATCCAAAAAAAAAGATTTAAAAATAAAGAAAATGAAGTATGGTAACAAAATATATTTAAAAAAATTATAAAAACTCGTCACCTTATAGCTAAAAAAAATAAGGGATAAAAATGAACACTTCAAAAAAATCTCAAAGTCACCACCTATATTACCCTCGCTTTTTATTTGAGTCCTCTTCTTTTAATTCAACTATGCCCGCAAAAAAAACATGCAATTGAATTCAAATTTAGGTTTAAAATTACTCAATCATGCCAAAAATAAGGTTTGAGAGTCAAAATAAAGATAAAGATAAAAAAACAAAAAAAGCATTGCCACAATTCTCATAGTGAATTATAAGAGTAAAAGTAAATGAGAGTATTTTACCCACCGGCTTTAGTTTTATTAATTCACCAGTGGATCTGTATAAATGTGAGAAGAAGAAACAGCACACCAACCACATTGAAGAATTTTCCTAAAATTTAATCCACTATCAGTGATTGACATTCTTGTCATCGTGGTTTTGTTCAAGCATGTCATATTCTATACCAATTCAGAAGATAAAAGGCATAGAATAAGTATGAACATGTCAAGGCAAGAACTGATTTGACCTGGTTTTAGCTTGTTCCCTCTGTTTAGTCTAACTTATAGTCCTAATTGCTTCTACAGTTATTGTTAAGATTCTACAACAATCCCGGTAAGCTACTTAATGGAATTCAAAATTGTGATTGTTCAGATTCACCTTGTGGATTTTCTTTTTCTTTATTTTTTGATAAATCAAACAGAATTTTAGTATTGAGAAAATGAAAAACAATTCCCATTGCTACTGAGCAGGCTGATATCAACATTTGCTCCTCCCTTGATTGGGGACAGAGATCAAAATTGCTGAAGCCTGGAGAAAATACTCTTTGTTTTCAGTTCTAATATGAACGCTCGTTTTCTGCTCCACTTCCAAACAATGGAAAATAGCATTCCTTTCCTTCCCAATTCATTCTTCCTATCTTCATGTCTACAGAACACTGTATTTGAAAAGCACAGTTATAATAGAAAAGGTCCTTCATATAGAACTCTACAGATAACACGTTGCAGCCACTAATCATGCCTATACAATGCATCACATGTATGCTGATGGTGGTGCTTTCCAGACTTCCTAGAAAAGGAGAAAGGGGGCAAACAAAATTCAATCATGGAAACAATGGCTTGATTCGGGCTACGGTAGTGATATTTAGGCCTTTGTCATTTCCTTCTAACTAAATGGCCCCGTGTATGCTATAGTTACAAATTCCTGAGCAAAAATAAGTGATGTGATGAACGACCAATGAAGAAACTTCACACACAATCAGACTTCTACGTGCAGAGAAATCACGATTGGTTCAAGGTAGTGGAAAGGCAGATTGTGATGAGTGGATAACATAGCTAAGATGACCTACTGGTATATGGAAATTCTACAGAGTATCCAGTCTGCTTTGAAAATTCCCCCTAGAGAACAGATAATAACAGAAATGAAGAAGGGAAGATGATAAATCTGTACTTTGCTATGGAGTTGGAGACTGCAGAAATATCTCCAGCACCGGGACCAGGAAAATTATACATTTTCACTGGAAGTCATGTACAAGTGTTAAAGATCGTCCTCTCAAAAAATTGCTTTAGCCTAGCATCCTGGGGGTTAACCGTTCCAGCAGCTATTCTGCAGACACTAAATCACCAGAGAAGCAAAATACAGAATGGAAGGATAGTTATTAATCCAAGGGTTGTGGTCAACTCCATGCAATCTTGGAGCTTACCAACCAAGGATACAATACCTTTCTGGCTCAAACTATGGTTAAATGCGTGCAAAGATTTAAGATTTTAGCACTTTAAGCATTCTATTTTCAACTACAGCAGTTATTCTGCCAATATTATCCTAACACCTTGGAAGCAAAACCAAGTTTTCCTGTTTGATGCTGTTTGTTCTATTGACTACTTACAAACTTAATCCAACAGAAGCTTTCGAAAGATAAAATCCTTCACCTCTACATCATGCAGAGTCTCATCAACTTTACATTATGTCTTATAATTTAGTAATTGTCCCCTGTAATAAAGCTAGATTTTGAGGGATAAATTTCTCTTCTTCAAGTAAAATTAAGTGTTCATATAAAACACCAGATCCAACATTTACACTTGTGTTTATTTTAAAGGACCATAAGTAAGAGATGCACTGAAAATAGCCATCAGACTTATAGTAAATCCACAAGTTTTTGGACCCTTTATTTATCCAGCTTGCCTACATATATTCTGACCTAAAGATATTCCACAAACCCCAAGCTCGAAGCCTCATTGAACATGGGTCATCAGTGTCAAATGAAACATTATCTCTGCAACTAAATCCAAACGGACGAGAAGTTTGGTCTCACTGTCAGCAAAATCATTTCCTAAACAGTTCTACATTTTTCTTGTTTATCAACAATATGCCCTCTGTTTATCCAACAGATTGGCTTAAAATCACGAAGAAAAAAAAATCATCTTATGAACTCAGACATCAATCAAGAGTTTCTGGGCTATTTTCCACAATAAGACTTTCTAACCACTACTCCTCAAACCTCCTTAATTTACATAACAAAGTGTCCAGATCTCTCCAAAACCTATCAAATTAGTTTTTGTATCTGACAAAAGTAATGTCCAATCTTAAATCCATAACTGGAAACTTAAAGAGTAGAGTTGAGGAGTTTCAAAAAAGTGTTTGAATAGCATTCCATAAACAGCAATATTCAAGGAAAAAGAAGCACAGCCCCAAAAGATACAGTATTCTATTATTGTCATGCTATTATTGTACAACAATATGTAACAAATCATTCAATTATCAACTGACACATAAGATGAAGAGGGTTAAAATCTCACTCTACATGAACTCGGAAGGCGAATTGGCATCAGGCTTCCCACTGTCACCCAATCCTCCAGGATGTTGTAGATTCTGCAAAACCTGAGGCGGCAACCCACCCAATCCACCACCTAAACCATCATTTGCCGATCCAAAAAACTGGCAGATAAACCTAGCCATAACTCCAAGTATCTGCATTTGGTTCTGGCATGCGTCAGCATGTATTTGCATCATTGCCTTCTCATGCTCAATTTGCATCCCCAACATTCTCTCCCTCCATTCCATCTCCTCCTCCTCCCTTTTCTCCTCCATTAGTCTCCTCTTTCTCCTCTCGTCATCCAACTCTCTCTCTACCCTCTCCCTTCTCTCAAATTCCCTTCTAGCCCACATCAACTCCCTCTCTTCCAACTCCATTTCCCAATTCTTCACCCTCTCTTCCTTCTCACTCCGCCACATGTCTCTCCGATTCTCCAACTCCCTCCTCCTCTTTTCACTCTCTAACACACTCTTCTCCCCATTAAATTCCCTTTCTCTCCTTTTCTCCTCCCTCCTCAACACCACATCCCTCAAATCCATCACTTGTGCACCAAGCAAACCCAACCTCCTATTTCCTCCCAAACCCTTCTTCATTTTCTCCTTCCGACCAATACCCATCTCCCCATTTCCTTTCTCTCCCCGAAATTCACCATCTTCCTCACCGCCACCACCATTATTATTACCACCATCACCATTAACATCCTCTTCTTCTTCTCCATCTTCCTCTTCCTGATCATCTTCCTCTAAATAATCCTCACTATCAATCCCAAACCCCAAATCCCCACAATCCTTGAACAAATCACTATCACCGCTACCACTTGGTTTCTTGCTCTTAACTTCAAGCTCAACATCACCAAAAACCTCTTTATACTTCAAGAAATTCTCCCAATGATTCTCCCCATCTTTCCAATTAAACTCGTCCTTTGATATTCTAATCTTTTGCTTCACGCCCAAATACTGATGCCTCATGTTTTGAACTTTTATAGATACATCACGCCACGACCATTTAAAAGGGTAGCCAATTGGGTCTTGAAGATGGTGCATGGTGTTTACATGGTCTGCTATTGGACGAAACTTTTTCTCTCTGGTCTTAAGCTTTGATAAGGTGCCTGAAGTAAGGAGATCGGAGTATTTGGACAAAAGGGTTTGCTCTTCTAGCTCTGACCATTTCTTTCTCTTCATGTTTTTTGGTGGATTTTTTTCTTGTTTGTGCAGTAAAGTGTCTGTGCTCGTGGAGATTAAAGTGGAGGGTTGTCTGAAGAGCAATGATGCAGAGGCTTTCGTTTGAGGGTTGACATTTGCAAATAGCAGCCGGTTTTAGCACGTCAGTATAAATTTTTCTTAATATAGTCCCTTTACTTCATATTCTCTTGATAATTTGGTCCCTCTCTTACGGCAGAATTCATAAATTTACCCTTGTATTTGTGTCAATTATTTATTTATTTCCTTGTATTTTTTATTTGTCATTAACATCATGTTCTCTAAATCCATTCAATTAATCCTTGTGTTCTTTGAATGTGGTTTATAACCCAATACTTAAGCCTTATTTGCTTACTAAAAAGTAATTTTTTATTTTTAAAATAAATTTTAGAAAAATAAATTATTTTTTAATATTTAATAATATAATAAAAAATAAGTTGGAAAATATTTTTCAGTATTCAATTATGTTATAGCAAATAAATTAGAAAATAACTTATTAATTTTTTATTTTTTTCAAGTTTATTAAAATAATAAAAAATAAATCTTACAAATTAAAAAGCTGAATAAGAATGAAATTGAAAAACAATATAATTTCATATATCATCTTAAATAAAATAAATAATAATTAAAATAATAAAGATCAAATCTAGCAAATAAAAATTAGGAAATGAAGAAATTAAAATAATAATAATAACTATTTTGTAAATTATGTAAAATAAAATAAGTAATAATCAAAAGAATAAGGATAAAATTTAATAGATAAAAAATTTTAATTAAAAAATAATAAAGAAAAAAAATTACAGTTATAAAAATAAGAACAAAAGTTAATATAAAAATTAAATTCTAAAGGATGAAATTGAAAGCAAATATTCAAAACAAAATATATACAATAATAAAAAAATTGAGAATCAAATTTGATATAATCAGCAAAATATGATATTTTTAAAATTTTTTACAACCTCCATGAAGTATTTTTCACCTAAAATAAAAGAAAAACACTTTTCTAAAAATCAAGTTATATTTTTTTTACTGAAAAGTAATTTTTTTTGGTTAAATTTTTTATATACAAATAAATACAAAAAAATTTAAAAAGTAGTTTTCAAAAAACCAATTTCCATCAAACAAATACCCTATTTAATTTGAATCGATTTTCTATTTAAATTATTAACAAAAATATATAAAAACTCATGAAAAACATAGCTTTAGAGAACTATAGATTAAATAGTGTTGAACAATAAAACAATTATTTTACCCTTTTCAACAAAATTAATGATTTGATTATAGGTATAATTTGAATTATTCTTTTAAATTCTATTAATTATTATCATAATCAAGAAAAAATTAATTTTTTTTATTTTTTACAGTATAATAAAATAATTAAATTATCTTTAAAAACAAAAAGAAAAATTAAAATGACATCGAAAGACTTTTTGATATTTTCATCTTGGATTTTTAATAAGAATCAAAGTGATTAAGGGGAAATTAAGTGTTTTAATAAATATTAAATATTATTTAAAAATTAAAAATGGATTTCGTTCGCAATGCACATGTGAGATACCCTGCACACCTGTAGATGATGTTTCTTTATAGCCAAGCATTGACTTTTTCGAAGCCATTGGAAGCAACACAATTGTATCTTCCAGCTAGTTTTAATAAATATTAAATATTATTTAAAAATTAAAAATGGATTTCGTTCACAATGCACATGTGAGATACCCTGCACACCTTTAGATGATGTTTCTTGATAGCCAAGCATTGACTTTTTCGAAGCCATTGGAAGCAACACAATTGTATCTTTCAGCTAGTGGCATTTGTTAACGGGTTATTTTTTTTCTTTTCTCTGTTTTCACCTTATATTTTATATATGCCCTTCTAAAGTTAAATATTCTATGTTAGTTTATATTTGTATTAATTTTGATTCTTAATTTTTTTTATTACTATTTGTTTTGCTTTTAATGCTTTTTAGAGTTCATTTTGTTTGTCAATTTTATTTCCTAAACATTTGATTTTATTTAGTTTTTGTATCTAATTTGGTCATTATTTTTTTTAATGATTTTTTTTGTTTTTTTATCACTTTCTTGATTTATTTTATTTCATTTAATTTTTAAATCAAATTTGATCCATATTTTTTTACTAGGAATTTTGCTTCATTATTTTTTTGTTTATCTTCTAAGGGGTAACCTTAGTCTCATGACTTGGGTTACCAAATTCAAATATTTGCTTGATTTGACTTCAGTATTTTTTTAATTTTTTTATTTCATCATTCAATATTAGATTATTAAGCCTTGAGTTTTGTGATATTTTTCACCTTTATATATATATATATTGATTTTATATCCCAGATTGCGAGTTAATCGAGTTAACCAGAATTAATTTGAATTTTTTTTTATATTTTATTAATTGATTTTTTTTTAATTTTGCTTTTCATTATTTAGTTTGCTTGAGATTTGACCTCTATTATTTTATTCAATTTATTTTGTATAGGGTTATCCATTTTAATGATTGGTCCATGCATTTAACATGCTGACTCGAGCCTGTTTTGATTTTTTTTTCTTAGCTTATTCTTTAATATTTGATTTGTTGGTAATTAAGTTTTAGTTTTTTTTTTATAAAATTATCTCATTCTCATTCAATTTTTACTCTATTACAAAATAAGATTATTGAGACTTTTTAAAAATATTTAAAGAGTATTTTTCATGAAATTGACAAGTGTTTATTTTTTTATTAGTCATTGTTTTTTTATTTGGTTGTTTTTTTATATATAATCATATTATTAAATTAATCAAACTTATTGAAATGAGTCAAATCATTAATCTTAGTCCCAGATTTTCTTACTTCTTTAGAAATATTATCATTACATAGACATTTTTTTCCTGCAATATAATGTGAGTCATCTATATAATACATACTAATTATATGGTAATTTTAAAAACATTTTTATTGCTCATGATATGGTATTTTTTAATGTTTATATAATGTTTATATCACAAATAAATTGCCTTAGAAAATTTATTAGAAGTGGATTTTAATTAAAGACTAATAAAATAAAAGATTATCTTATAAATAAAAAGTATATAATAATGTGACATCCAAATCCAAATTCATAGTTAATATTTGATAGAAGTTATTTATCGAGTAAGGGTTATTAATTATTCATAAGTGTCTCGAGTTCGAGTTAGGGTGTGCATTTCTTATAAAAGTTTGAAACGACCGGGATTTTACGCACTTACTTAGACCTATAAAATACGCTTTTCGGTAAGTAGGTTTCCTCGAATTAAAAAAAAAATATCCATAAGCTTGATATATTTAAAAAGAAAAGGGGTTAATTGAATGAATTAAAAAAAAATTAACCAAATTAAAATTAAAAACATATAAGAATAATTTACATGAACATGTGGATAAATTTAGAGGTTGTATATTTTTAATGGCTAAAAAATACTAGATAACTCTCTACTTTCAATTTTTAATCAGATTAACCTCTTTACATGATTTTAATAAAACAAGCCTTTTTATTAGACAAGTTGGTACTTGTTAATGGTCCACTTCTCCTTTTATCATAGAAGTTTATTAGTTTGATTAGCTCTCGTTAACTAAAACAGATGAATTTATTTAAAATCATAGTAAGTTATTTTTTAAAATATTTTTTATTGTAAAATATATTAAAATAATATATATTTTTTATTTTTTAAAAATTATTTTTCTTATTAATATATTTAAAATATTAAAAAATAATGAATTTAAAATAATTTTTAAAAAATATTTTAAAAATTCTAATTAAAATGTTATAGGATAAAACTGACATTAAATCATGTTATATATAAGATTTATAATAAAAAAATAAAAAATACACTAAATTCTTAAAACTAATAAAAAAATAATTTGGTTAATAATAATAAACAGATAATATTTTTTAATAAATAAATAAAAATATAAGATTAAAATATATCTTAACTTGAATCAAAAGTGGTCAAAATTCTACTGAAATCAATTTTTAACTTTGACTTGATGATTCTAATTTATATTATCTCTTTCCTTTCAAAAAAAAAATTGTTAGAGATCATTTTTTTTTAAACATAGTTTTATAAATTTAAATCATTTTTTGTCATTAATTATTTATTAAAAAATGATTTTTGAACTGTAATTAAAATCAAGATTTATTTTTCACACGCAACCCATAATCATGAGTTGTCTGACATGCAGTCGTAACATTAGTTTTGTCATGTTCGTTATTCCACGACAAGTCTTAGTATAAATAAACTAGAATATCAAGATGCCCTCGCTTTCTACTCTGCTTCGTTCTCTGTTTTCTTGACGAGGAATCGAAATGGCGCCTCCGATCTTGTCCTTGGATGGCCCTTCCTTCGGTTACCGGTCGGGTTTTCAGTATTCAATCTCTTACTGTTCAGGTATTTCGTTTTCTTTCTCTGTAGAATCTGAGGTTCTGATTTTTTTTCCTTCTCTGTTTGGTTCTCGAGAAAATTGATTGCGGGAGGTGAAGTGAGAGTTAGCTTTTATGCTCGAAGTGTTGATTCTTGTGATATTAAGTTTATATTAGAGTCAATCAAATGTAATTTGAATGCTGTTCTATATGTAGTGATATTTGGTTTGGATTAGATAAGAAATTAAATTATTTGAATGATTATGATAAAAAGTTGGAAAATTCTTGTGAAATGTGTTTTAATGGGAAGTTTTGATAATAGTTTGTGAAGGTTGACAACGTTGTTGGCTTTGGAATCGTGTGTTGCGTTTTTGTTGTAAATGATAAAAAGGGATGAAGTTAGGTGATCCATGAGACCAGGAAGGTGGTATGAATGACAATGTCATTAATTTTTGTTGGTGTAGATTGATTGGTTATGGATGGATCTAATTCAGGTTGTTCTTTCTTTGTGATTTTAACTTTTTTCGGCTTGTCACCATGAGTGGTGTGGGGCAGGGTTGATTGTGGTATGTGCTTGCCTGTGACGGTGATGTGGTGGATGTTTGTTTGTCTTTATAGTATATTGGCATGCTGCTAAATGTGAACTGAATCGTTGTAAATTATGAAGAGAAGAATATAAATGTAGATGAATTTCTGAATGTCCTTAATTTGGCTTAATACATGTAGATTACTTTTAATCTTCATAGTCCGCAGACAAATAGGATATGCAATGCCTTCTTTGTTTAGTGATGCTCTCCATGAAAGAATGTATTTTGCAAATAGAGGGATAAGGCAATCTTGGCGGGAAGATTCTGAGTGTTTCAATGAAGAGGTTTCTGATTATTCATGGGACAGATATAATATGGTTATGGTGCGGTTGCCCATTATACTTTTAGTTCTCATGTCTGTGTTCACAATTCAAACGTTACTGACATATGTTCAAGCAGAATCTATTGTGTGGAACCAAATGTATCACGCCATTGAGGTTATGATGTAGTGATTTGTATGGTTTTTGTAGGTCAGGGATATGCTATTGTTCATCTAGGTACGTATATCAGAGTGACACGTACCATGGTGTCTATTGTATTCAAATGCAATCTTAATGTACACTGTTGGCATGATTCTAGATTTGGGAGATTCTGTGCCCACATTAACATTTGTATTGTCTATTTCTATTCAGGAATATGTTGGCAATAAATCAGCTGTCTTTCCTCTCCAACTATTGGGCTATGATGTAGACCCAGTTAATTCAGTACAGTTATCAAATCCCACAGGCAAAGTGCTTATACCACTTCACTCAAACAGACTTAGATATACGGTGCGATGCTTGTCAGTCTATATAAATTCAGGCATGGCTCCCTCACCAAATTATGGGTCAGTTAAGGTTCCATGAATCTAAAAATTGAGCAGGATATCCAACCTTTAAAGGCTAAGTTTTAAATGGACAGCAACTATGGGAGTTAATGGAAGGCCTTGAAGCAAATGAGCTGCTGTATTATGCTCATTTATTAACAGGTATGACAAATCTATTCTCTGCATTTTTTTTTTTAATTATGTGAAAATTCTTCTTCTGTTACATGGCTTCAGTTCTTGGTGTTATTTCACAGGTTATATGGGTTCAGTTTCATTCTTAAACACTGTATTGGAAGCAGTTATGAAGCTGGTAATGCTGTTTCTCTTTTTAGTTTGCAATCCTGTTCTAGGTGATGAAGGAAAGCTTTATGTTCCGCCTTAGTTGGTAGCAGTATATCATGAGAAGGTGAGCAGTTCAACTTTTATACTTGTGGGTGTGCACTGCGTTTTTTATTCTGTATTATAATCTCAGGCAATGTTTGAAATCCCTGGACTATGTGGAGGCAATATGCAGAACTTTACCCTCAATTGGGTTGGGTGAATAATTTGGATTAAACAAGTTGAGTAGAAAATAATTATTCATTTGATCCAGATAATGGTCTGATTTTACTTGATAACATTTTGATGCAAAATTAAAGTTGATATAATGGTGACAAAGCGGGGGACACTCCATGTTGCTGGTTGTCCCGGTGGCTTCAATGTTAACCCCTAATCAATTTGAAGCAGAACTATTGACTGGATCCAGGTACTTGTTTATACCATACAATAGAATGATGAAGTGATCTTCACTTTTGTTTTTATTATGTTTCTATCAATTTCTTAATAGCCTTCCTAGTTTTTCTTCAAACTCTGATCTAGTTTCCTTTCTTTTTCCAAGGTTATGTTGAATAGTATGTGGAACTGATACTAGGGAATATGATAGCAAGTCTGTCCATGACTATTATATGTTAAATGTGCAAAGTTGGAATTGCTCTTATCTGTTAACTTAAAAAAACCCAAGTCCTCACATAAATCAAATGTAATGTCAAGATGTTAATCAGGCATGGGGCTTTACTCCTGAATATTTGCCAGTGATCAGATTCATCCATCCATTTTGCAGCCTTTTGAAACTCTAGCTCTTGATGAGGCCATCATTCTTATTAGTTCAAGCTACTTGCATCCTGACATTCTGTTAGTGTATGCTTCTTTTGAATATTGCTAAACTACATTGGAACTCTTCCTTTTCTGGAACCCTTATATCAGTGCTTTAATTCTACTTTCTGGCAACACTTCTCCTTTTGAGGGGTGAATTGCATAAAAGAGGTAGTAGTTCATATAAGATTATCACAAATCTTTGGCCATGTGAGCAGCCTTTCTAGTGCATTTGACTATGGGGTAGGAAGTGCTAGCAACAGAGGTCCAGTCAGGAAGTTTTAATCGTGGAACTATACAATCCCTACACTTTAGCGATGAAAAAGTAAACGTAGTATGCTTTGTATCTCTCGGAGGAACATTGCTTCATAAGTAGTTAATATGCACAATGACTTAAAGCGTGCATATTGACTTGATGCAATCATAGCAACTGGTTTTATCTCACGATCTTACGATTTTCAATATTGTCATTTTGCCTAGGTTTCATCTTTCTTTTCCATGAGATTTTTAACAATTGACAACTTAAATTCTGGGTCTTACAAGAACAGGGAATATCTAGTATTTATTTCTCTATGCTTTATTTCTTCTTCCCTTGAATCTTTTGCTTTCTGATAAGATTCTCTGTACAGGATTGTATCTGAACAAGATGGTCAGGAAGCTTGCAACAGGCTTCATGCTGCTGGACATTCAAAGGTTTTGGTATGCTATTTTATCTTGAACTTAGTTTGAAACCTATACAGATTTTGAAATTTGAAAATCTGTCTTGGTTTCTCATTTCTGTGAATTGTAACACTAAGTTTATTATTTGTGCTTGATGTTTCTCACTTTCATGGCATGATTGTAATAATAAATGAATTTTTCATTGAGATTGCAGATTCTTGTCGATTGCCTTAATTCTCTACAAACATGGAATATTTTGTGGCAAAAAAAAGAGTTATCCTAGAAAAGATCTTCAGTTGCAAAAAGTAACCATGTGGTCTCTAACTACCTCTTTTAAGTATTTATATGACAAATTTGGTTATACACTGCATATCATGTGGTTCGATGTTGCTATTGTGAATGCTATGTGCTGGGATCTATGCTTGATCAGTCCTTGATATGTATGAAAAAGAAAGGAAATAAAAAGGATGCATTCCCACTTGAAACCCTTCATAGATTGAGTAAATTATGGTTATATAAATTTTCAAAGTTTCCAATACTTGGAGGCACTTCTGCAGAGGGCATTGGATGATTATAAAACAGCTGGATACGATCCCCAGTAAAGCAGTTTAGAGACTAGATTGATCCAAAGCCAGGATGACATTCGTCACCCACAGGTTAAAATGGGATAGTTTCTGTATTGGAAATGTATTTTTTTTACCACATGCCATAGTGAATAAGTTTTTTTTTTTTTTATCCCTTTTAGAAATAGCAAGAAGGAAGAAACAATATTGATATTAAAATGAATGGATGCTAGAGCCTCCTATTCATCAGATTTTAACCTGATTGAAGTATCCATCTGCTACACTTTGAATGCTTAAGCCCCAAACTCTCTTTTGCGCAGCCTTTTAATGCTTTATTTCTCCACTGTCAGCTATAGCTTAACCATTAGAGTATTATCTTGAATCTAAATATCTATCTATCTATCTATCTATCTATATATATATATATATATATATATATATATATATTGGTGCTATCCAAATCCAAGATTAGATTTGTTTTGCAGGAATTTATGTTATTTAAATCTAATATTCTCACCCTCTTAAGCTATCTATCTATCAACTTTAGAAAGAATTTAATCTTCGTAAAACTTTTCGTGAACTGATGAGAGACAAAAAAGAAATATAAAAAAAAAAAAAAACAATCCATAGGTTGAATAAAAATCATGTACATGTTATCACTTTGAGCTTGCAATTGCTAGATACAAATTCTTGGAATCATCCATTATGCTTGACAATCCCCTTGCAAATTTGGGGTGGTAGGTTTGGAAAATTAAAGTCTACACCGTGGAGCCATTTAGGCTTTTAATTATATTCCTTTTCCTTGCAATACCCGTTAGCTGAAAAGATAAGGCTCATCTCTCATCTCCATTACAGCTCTGTTTTTGCACTACCATTGCCTTCTCTACCTGCTTGTTCTCCAGTTCTTGTCACCGACATCAAATTTCTTTTCCTAAGACAACAAGCTATGGCTGTTGCGCTTGTTTCTGTTCTTGTGGGTTCCATGTTGGAAAACTTGTCTTCGGTGCTTCTCAAAGAGGCTGGACTTGCCCAGGGCCAGCAAACTGATCTTGAAAGCACACTGAGTATGCTTCAGGCTGTTCTCCATGATGCAGAGAAGAAGCAATTGAAGAGTGAGGCTGTGAGGAATTGGCTGACAAAGCTCAAGGCTGCAGCTTATGATGCAGAGGATGTGGTTGACGAGTTTGCTATAGAAGTTCAAAGGCGTAAGCAGCCAAGAGGTTTGATAAACCCTTTACAACGCTTCTTCTCTCTTGATCAAAATCCACTTATTTTTCGAGTATAATTGGCACACAAGTTGAAGAACGTAACGGACAGATTGGATGCTATTGCCAAGGAGAGACAGTTACATCTAATAGCAGGAGGTGGGTACATCGAAGCTGATAGTTCTGATGGGTGTCAGACCTGGTCACTGGTTGATGAGTCGGAAATTTATGGAAGAGCTCAGGAGAAAGAAGAGCTAATGAAGTCAATGGTAAACAATTCAGGCAATCTCTCTATTAATGCTATATGTGGAATGGGAAATTTGATCTTACAATCTGGATATGCGTCTCTGATGATTCCACTGTAGAAAAGTTGACAAGAGCCATGATAGAGTCTATTCAAAACAGCCCTTGTGACATAGAAGGGTTGGATAACTAGCAGCGATGTCTTCGAGAAAAGCTAAGTGGAAAGATGTTTTTGATTGTGTTAGATGACGTGGGGGATGATTTCAATGATAAGTGGAGTAAATCGAAGGTCTTACTAAAGTGTGGAGCAAAAGGTAGTGCTGTTCTAGCAATTACCTTTATTGAGATGGTTGCTCTCAAAATGGAACCAATTTTATCTATCAGATCTGATTCTTGGCTTTTGTTCGAGCGCTTTGCATTTGGGATGAGAAACGGAGAAGAATATGCTAACTTGGAGGCCACTAGAAGAGCAATAGTTGACAATTGTGGCAGGGTTCCTTTAGCTATAAAGTCAATTGGAAGCCTTATGCGCTCGAAGAAAAAGAAAAATGCGCTTGAAGAAGCCTTCTTGAATGTTGTGTGTTTGAGAAGGATAGGATGCTGGAGATTTCTAGAATGGTCCGTCATGTGGCTTTTTTGAAGAAAGGTGGTGCTCCTGCTCATTAACATCTCAGTGCCCAATCATTGCGCGCATCTATTCTGTGTTTATCCTGATGCCCACAGAATGGGTTGGAGAAAAACACGGCATTTGTTGTTTACTAGACAAAATCATATAACAATCTTAGTAGTGAATAATTCTTGTGAGGTCGAGGCATTGCCCCAATCCATTTATAGTTTGAAACATCTAAGATATCTTGATTTCTCCAGGTCCTCCATCAAAAGGCTACCTGAATCAATCACCTCTCTTCCAAAGTTGCAAACTCTGAACTTGTGTTACTGCAAGCAGCTTCGTATTTTACCCAAATATATGAAGTGTGTGAAAAGTCTCGTGTATCTTCGCAACGAAGGTTGTATTTCACTTCCTTCTATGCCTGCTGGAATGGGACAACTGACTTACCTACGAAGGGTTGATCTCTTTATTGTAGGCAAGAATGAGGGTCATCAGATAGCTGAGCCGGAAAGGCTGAATTATACTGGTGGTGGTTTGATCATCTCGGATCCTGGTAATGTTAAAGATTTAACAGATGCCAAGAGTGCTGATTTGATGAGAAAGACAATTCTCCAATCATTGACTTTATCTTGGCATGGGAATGGAGATTACCTTTCCGGGATCCTATTAACATGAGCAGAAGTATCTAAAAACAGTGTTATCCATGAAAATACAGAGAAGATCCTTGATGAGCTTCAACCCCATTCAAACCTGAAGCAATTGAAGATAATTGGATATGAAGGTTCAAGATTCTCAAGTTGGATGATGAACTTGGAGCTACCCAATCTTGTTAGTGTCTCACTTGAATGGGGTGGCAATTGTGCACAACTTCCACCATTAGGGAAACTGCAGTTCCTTGAGTATCTTTGATTATGTGGAATGGATGGTGCGAAGAGTATTGACAATAATTTGTATGGAGATGGGGAAAATCCATTCCCTTCATTGGAGACTCTGTATCTTTTGGACATGGAGAAGTTGGAGCAAAGGGCAACAGTCGGTAGATGTCGGAGTCTACCTTGCCTTCAACATTTAGCTGTGTATGATTGGCCCATGTTGATCGAAATACCAATTATACCTTCAGCGAAAAAATTAAAAATCAGAGCATGCAATGCTACATTAGTGAGGTCAGTTAGGAATTTGTTCGTATTGAATTGATTCCCAACCTGATGCTTCTTCTTGATGGATTTTTGCAAAACCATACGCTCCTTGAGCACTTAGAAATTAAAAATCTTAGAGACCTTCAGTCCTTGTCAAATCAAATATTATATAAACCTTCTGCTCTAAGTTCCTTAAGAATTCAGCATTGTAGTGAACTTGAAAGCTTGCCTGAAGAAGGTCTCCGGAACCTCAATTCTTTGGAGAACTTGTCTATACTGGGTTGTCATCGATTAAGTTCTCTGCCAATGAATGGATTGGATGGCTTGTCTTCCTTTCGTCACTTACATATTGAAGATTGTATGAAGTTTGCATCTCTATCCGATGGAGTGCAATATCTGACTAAGCTGGAGGCATCTGACTTAGTTAATTGTCCAGAGCTTGCCAAAGAGTATCCAATATCTCACTTCTCTCCAATTTTTGACGATTCGTGGTTGCATGGGATTGTTTTGTCTGTCAGATCAGATTGGATATCTCAGGTCTCTTTATGGCTTATCGATTAATTATCAGTAATTGTCCAGATCTGGAGAGGAGGTGTGAGAAAGAGGAGAGGACTGGCCCAAGATAGCTCGTATCTCTAACATTTTTATCAAAGGTAATATGATCCAAGGATCCTTTATTTGTAGGGTTTATGAAGATTAGAATGATTGAGCCTTTTGGGATTGTGATAGAGAGATGTCAATTCCACGGTAATTTGCTTCCCTGCATGCCTTCTTCTTTTGATATTCTTACATGCATCCCTTACATTCAAATCAACTATAAGTAATCCAGTCCTTGAATTGATTACTATTCATATCCATTATCTCACCTCTCTTGATCTCTGGGAATTTACTATTGCCTGGGATCATATTCTCTTCTAGATCAGATTGGATACCTCGCATCATATCTTTCAAGCTTATATTTGGAATTGCCCTAATTTAATGTCCTTGCTGGATGGGATACAAAGACTCAATATGTTCAAAGTGTTGAAAATTGGCATTTATCCAATTCAGGGAATATAGGTGTAAGAGAGAGGGGAGGAGAGGACTGGTCTGAGATTGCCCACATTGCTTACATTGAAGGTATAGTTTGGTGCAGCGGTTGAATCACTGTTTCGTTATTTTTTGAAGAAAAAAATTGCTTCAAATTAATTTATTTTTATTTTTTTGGATCGTTTTGATTATTGATGTTAAAAATAATTTTTTTAAATATTATTTTAATATATTTTCTAACAAAAAAATATTTTAAAAAGGCAACTTTTACTTTTATCTCAAACACCCTTGAAATTGGAATCAAGGAATCTAGTCCCTGAATTGATGGGAGATTTGAATTGATGGGAGATATGAATGATTGGCCTATATTTTGACAAGTGATGTCAATTCCATGGTAATTTTGTTCACCATATTCTCACTTTCGATGAAACCATTACATACTTTCTTAATTGGTTTTGTTTCTTCTCGTTCCCTGCAAATAACAAGAATGTGCAAGGGTGGCCCTTGAAATAGCTACTTTTGCTATTGCAAATTCCTGCTTATATGGTTTCCAATTTGACGTGAAGCTATCTTCGGTTTCTTTTTGCCCATTCAAATTTACAATTTTTAGATCCTGGAACAAGCCCCTCTAAATAATTTCTTTCCAAGGATATGCCTACTAATCATCTAGCTTCTATTTTGGTGTAGCTTGATCATTTCCTATTTCTGGTGCCTATACATCTCATACATAATCTTCGACTCTGGTGCTTGTCTTTGCCAATATCTCATCAGAGCCATCTAGTTCTTGCTACTCTTGTGAGGTGGAAAGCTATTTCATTCATTGTGATTCATGCTATTGTATTTTTACCAAATTATGATTCATTATACTGCGACATTGAGTCATTGTATCTGCTATCAGGCACGGTAGGTGCGCATTGCTGGTGGCATCTTTCTTTACCGGTTGATAGCGGTGGAGAATGCAACACTACATATTATTCAAAGTTATCCAGCAGTGCATCTTTCGTTTTCATGGGCCTCATATTGGAGCTGATTCGATTGTGTTTCTGATAAATCCAACTCGTCATATTGCCAGAGAAAAGCTGATGTGGTTAAGAAGTAGAGCCATATGAATCTGCACTATGGATTATGAGAACTACTTCTGGTCTAGGGAACTCAATTATGAGACTTCATTAAGCCCTGCATATGATACGGGTAAATTTTCTTGTTATATATGCATAAACATCTATCTGCGTTTGTGTGTTGCTCTTGATTCTAGACCAGTCATGGTTCCTTCCATTGATTACTGCATTTAATCACATGCTTTAGAGCTTGCCAAGTTTATAGCTTTCATAATGTCTGTTCTTGCATAAATCCGAAATGACACTAGAGCCTTTTACACTGTTTTCCCAGAACATATGAAGATGGTGTGCCAAGCCGTTCTTCTCAGCTGCGGTGGCCACATGAAACACTTCCGAGATTATGAGCGAACTATGGTTGTATAAATCCTGAACTTTTCCAAAATTTGTAGGCACCTCAGCATAGAACGATGGATGATTATAGGACAGCTGGATATGATCCCCAGCCAAGCAGTTTGGAGATCAGATTGATCCAAAGCCAGCATGACATTCGCCACCCACTAGTTGAATATAAAGCTGAAAAACAACCCAGAAATGGGATAATTTATGCAATGGATATGTGATTTATTTATCAAACGTCTTCAGAGCGAAGAAGCGAGCGCATGTGGTTTTGGTCCGTAAGTTATTCCATCCGAGGCAGTAAAATCTTTGCTTATGGTGAAGGTTGGAAATGTGATTAAAATGCCCATAATTTTGCTTATGGTTTTGGTTTTCCATTATTTTGTTCTTGGTTTTGGTCAATTTAAATTATGTGATTTATGTATTGTAAACGTGAAGATTGGATATTGTGTTTTTTTCTTTTAGAAATAGCGAAAAGGAAGAAAAAAAATCTTTATATTAAAATGAATGGATGATAAAGCCTTCTGTCCATCATATTTATGTTTTAAACCCCAGAACTCTCTCTTCTGCACAGCCTTTGTTTTTTTTTTTTTTTTTATTCCGATATGGGTTTTAGCTTAACTTTTAAGAGTATAGGGGTGTGTAGTTAAAATAATTTTTTATTTAAAAATATATTAAAATAATAATTTTTTATTTTTTAAAATTTATTTTTGATATTAACATATTAAAACAATCTAAAAATATATAAAAAATATTAATTTAAAAAATATTTTTTTATTAAATTCTAGTTTGACTAGGGGATCAAATATTTTCTTGATTTGCATTACATTTTAATAATTTTAAAGAGAAAAAAAAACTTAATACTCAAGTTATTAACTTGATTTTATACAATAAAATCAAGTAATATAATAATATGACTTAAATTATAAACAATAAAATATAAATTTTAAAATAACAATAATTTACAACTAGATGGAGAAATTTAGAATATAAATCCATATATGTTATCTATACATTCTTACAAACTAACTAAAAAGGGATGGGTTTAGATATTTAATTTAACAATGCATTCTAGACGATACAAGCCTTGAAAAAAATTGTTTTTTGTATAAATCAATAAGGAATGAGAAAAAAATTAAAAAACTAATTAAATTAAAAAAACTAAAAAAATTAATTAAAAAACTGAATTAAAAAATAAAATCGAATAAACTGATTAAAAAATCTAAAATAAAAATCAATATTCAATTTGAATAGTTTTTTTAACCTAAATAAAAATGCTTACCTCTAATAACAAAATACTATATTAGATTTGAAGCTTCACTACCTTCTATTCAGTGTTCCTTCTCTCCAGGAAGGAAACTTGAAAGCAGTTAAAAATTTTGAGTTGGAGAGGAAAACTAATGTTTTTGAGAGATTTAAGACTAGAATCAGATTCAGAATACATTGAATCTTGCTGAATGTTATTATGCTAGAAATCATCAATCCTTTTTTTTATCTTTTCCATTCCGAAGTCATGTCGGGGTGCCCCAAGGTTTCAAAAGTTTAGACAAATACATAAAAAATATAAAAAGTGTTCAATTATAGGTATGAGGATATCGGCATAAAATAAGAACTAGATTTCTTTCCTTTTAAAAAAGGAAATATAGATAAACATGTTTTTACTTCTTTTTTGCTTGAAACAGTAACTAAATGCCATTAAAGAGATTTCTCATGACATGAATTTGCATGTCTAGCATCAAAGACAATGAACCCAGCGGCTGAAAGGCACCTCTATCCCCATCACCAAGAGATCTTGGTTTTAGGGACTCTCCCTTGCAATAATAAAAGAAGAAATGTCTAGGTATCGGAGAGGTCCCCGTTTTATCTCAATTGCTGGTTTTATCACCATTTTTTTCACCACAAGCATATAAACATACAAAACTAATAAAAACTAACATGTCCTGAGAAAAATATTCATGGATCAGTGAAACGATGAATTTCCCATTTCAAAAAGAAAAGAAAAGAAACTTGAATAGGATATTGGAGAAGTGATGGCCATTGTAAAAGGCTCATTTAGTTATTATTAATTTGTTTGGGTAAGTTGGTCATTCCATTTGTTTTTAAAAAATACCAATAAGTGCAAATTTTTAAAAAATAGAGTCTATTGGCACTTTAGTCTTTTTTCCATGGTTTTTTTAGTAATAACAAGGTTAGACAAGGGTCATTCGATCTTTAATAAATATAAAATATATTAAAAATAAAGCTATTGCGTGCGGTGTATTCATTAACAAGTAGAAGGTACTCATGCCTTTCAACCAATGTGATATCGATAAACTTTTATCTTCTCTTTCTACTTCTCTCTCTTCACCTTGAAAATCGTGATGCTCGTGAAAAATTTTAAAATTGTTTTCTGATTTATAGAGATATCAATTACAGTTTTTATTATTTTATTTTAATTTTTGTTTTTCATTTTGTTGTAAAATTTTGAATTGTTTTCAATTACATCATTCAATCACGATTTGTGATATATTGTTTTGTTTAATTTGGTTCTTGTTCTTTTTATTTTTTTAAGCCTTTTATTAAATTGGTTGTTCTTTTCAACCCTTGATAAAAAAAATTGTTTTATTTTTTTTTTTAATTTTGATCATTATTTTGTTTTTGTTCTTTTGCTAAATTAATTTTTCTTTGCAATTTCACCATTTAATCAATAATAAAATTTATTTTGTGTTTCAATTTTGATTTTCATTCTTTTAATTGTTAATTTTTGTGTTGTATTCTTTTATGTAATTGGTATTCTTTTTCCATGTCAATCCCTCAACATTTAATTAGTTAAAAATTGAGTTTTGCTATTTTTTCAAATAGAATACTTCCAATCTAATACTTTGGGTCACATGTTTTAAAAGTCAATAAAAGTTAACAATGTTTTTTTACTTTATTTTCTTTTTAGCTTTTTAATTTTCTTGACAGTTTCTTTTCTATCAAGCTATCTTACTTTCAAGGTTAGGGTTTTAATTTTGATAAATTAACTCAGGTTGACTCATCTTATATTCCCTGAATTATAGATTTATCTTATTAACTTCAAATGACTATAATTATTTTTTCTTTTCTTTTTATTATCTAATTTTTTCCTTTGTATTTAATGAATTGAGAATGAAGTTACATTTCTTTTCTTTATTGTTTTTTATTTATTTTAAATTTCATTCATTTTTTATCATTTGATTAAAATAAAAATAAATTATTTGATTAAGCAAATTCTTTGATTCAAGTTGTATTTAAAAAAAAAAACATGTTTGTGTTACTTAAATAATGCTTTTAACAAAAAACAAATCCCACCATATAGCTCAAGACACCATTAAAGTCCTGTTTAGAAATGCTATTGAAACCTAGACTAAGCTTTATTTTAAATCGTTTCTAGATATTAATTTGGTTAAATTTAAATAATCTAATATGTTAATTTACAATATAATTGATATAGCTAAATTCATGTGATATCTAGTGAGTCAATTCTAAAATAATTTTATAAAAAAATTAAAATAATATTAAAATAATTAATTTAAATTGATTTATAAAAATTAATTCAAGAGCCTAACAATCTAGACCCTAAATGAGGTTAGATTCGAAACGGAGTCTAACAGCAAAGAAAATTAATTTCTCTACACTCATCCACTTTTAGACTGATGAAATAAGCTCTTTTTTTTTAAAAAAAAAAAAAACAAGAAAAAAAATCCTTCAATTTAATAGATTAAGGCTCAAGTGTGATTAGCTTTAAGATTGATTGCTTGATTAAAAGTGATTATGCTACTTAATTCGAGGAATTAACTTTAGAAAAGTGAAAGAAAAATAAGGCGCCAAGGAGCAAAAGCAAGGAAAGAGAGGGACCCATGACCCCACCAATTCCATGTTAATTACGGCTTTATTTATAGAAAGGCTCCTTGGTCGCCATCACAGTCCCCTAATTTGATGCCCTCCCTCTCCCCTTTTCTCTCCCCTTTAATGTCTGCCACTGTTTCACACCTCTGCTCCATCATTCCTTCCTCCTTTCACCTTTTTATTTTATTTTTTTAAAAAAGAATCCCAAGTTTGAAGGGTATCATGGATTATTGGATTGGATATTTATGGGTTTTGTTATTTAACATATTTTTATACTTTTTAAAATTTATTTTTATTGTTTTTTATTTAAAAAATAAATTTATTTGTGTGTTTATACGACTATAAAAATATTCTTGAAGTAGCTTGTGTATCAATGGACTTTAGATTTAATTAAAGTTACACTCCACACATTAAGTTGAAAAATTATATTAATACTTTACGGATAATGCTTCCTAAATTTAAAATGAAAAATTAAACAAAGTACTTTATAATAGTGAGATTTATAATAAATATAATATGAGCCATCATAAAGATTATTTTTAACAAGATAGTTTGTGATTATTTTTTATTAATTAACTATCCTTTTTTTATTAATTAACTATAAATAGTAGAAGAAAAACAAATAATTTATTAAAGAGACAAGGAAAAACAGCTATGCGGGTCAAATTATTCAGTCTTGTTTATAATTTATTTGTGAAGTAATTTTCCCTTCACATGTTTTTTTTAAATTATTCAATTAAAAAAATAATAATAATATAAATAATATAAAATGCTAAAGAGAGCGTCTGACTGCATGTGGGCCAACCTATTTATAAAATACATGGCCTCCCAACCCAATTGATGTGGAAAAATGGGGGCCGTACCTTCCGCGTGGTCTGACCCAAATCAACTCATGTGGACCCACCATGGCTAATTTTTCCTGGCTACAGTAACAATCTCCTTCTAAATTTCTGATAGATTTTTTCGGGTGTCATGCAAGAAATTAAAATTTTATTTCTACATGGTAAATCGATGGTTTGTATATATATTAGGGTTAAATTGAGTAATTATGAGAATAATTCTATTTCATGGATTAATTTTTTTTATATCAATGTATTAATATATTTTATATAAATTTAAAGGTAAAAAAAATAGTGTAAAAACTAGATATGATTAATATATTTATAATCATCAGATGAGTCTTTAAATTATATCGATATCTCACATTATTATTTATGTAATTTAATATATGATATACTTGTAAATGGAAATACAATATAAATACTATTTTTTTAATGTCATAAATGTGGCATATGCTATTATTACTTTTACAGCTCATCATATTATAAAATCAACTTAATTAATTTACTGTTACTATAAGCAAAATTAATACATTCTGAAAAA